AGATTTCAATACAGCACCACTTGTAATATAGATGTCAAATATCCAGATGGGGGTATTGATATCATAAATATTTTTTATAGAATTTTTTAGTTTTTGTCTAATTTGAGTGAAATGTTTCATTTCAAGTTCTGACATTATTAACAGAATTCCTGAACTTTCAGTGTCAAATGACGGGCATCTTCTTAAGACAAGTACACACAGTGGAAATACCTCATAATACCTAATAATAATTTTATTAAAAAAAAATAATTTTCTCCTAGCAAACAATTAATGTCATTATCTTTTTAATCTATGCACAAAACATTAAGAAAATGAGTTCTGAAGACTCAAGGAATGTATTTCAATGAATTACATGTGTCAAATTGAATGAAGAATGTTTAAACGAAATGAAAAATCCAATTTAAAAAAAATTTGGTATAAAAAGTCCACTTTCAAGAGTTATCTTTCCTAATTACCCAAGACTCAAAACACTAAGGAACGTTTGACATTACATCTAAAATTCAGAACAAAGCTTTAAATTGTCAGTGTATATATTTAAATCAATGAAGCAAATATATAAATTCACACCAACACAGTAAATAGTACAAGTAAATAACTTTTTAATTTCAACAAGGTTGTACATTTTAACTCGAATTTCCTTCATACAAACATTGATAGAGCTCACTGCATGCTGCATTGCATTGCTATGAAATTGACATTACTTGTTTGGCGAAGATTTGACTGTTGTTTTCTTTTGCTTCTGCTTAAAAGCAATTCTTCTTGGTTTATGCATAATGAATCCGTTACTTTGTTTTCACTGTTTACAACATCGCATGTTTCATCTATTTTTAAAGCGATCTAAAGGTCAGGGTCATATTATAAAGGTACCTGTACAAATCGTCCCCGGAGGAAACCGGTCAACACAATGGAGGTTTATTTTTTTTGTGTAGTACGTCATCAAAAAGTGGTGTAATGAGCCTCCTTAATGTATCTTCAATGCAAATCTGGTAAGCATTTAATGTTGGGCTTATAGTCACTTATGAATAAACCTGCTCCCAAAACTGGTCATTCAAAAATGTAGGTCAAATCCAGTATTTGAAGTTACTCTGATAGTATGCATCTCTTGATGATTCTCCATGCAAGTTTGGCTTATATGGATAAACCCTATATATTCTTAATGGACCTGCTCCAAAAATCTCAACCTTATCACTCAACTGCAAAATATAGGTCAAATCCAGCATCTGAAGCAGGCCTTATAGACTTTTGTAAAACACCTCCTTAAGTAAGTTTATGATGGTAACCTATACAGAACAACTACTCTTACACTCAAATTATCTACCCCTGCAGAGCCTCCGACCTAGGAGGTGGGGGTGAATTTAAAAAATTAGGCAGATGAATATTTGCTCATCATAAACTTCGTATTCATTAACCCAAGAGAAGACATTCAAAAAATATATGCACATTCATGACCATTATGATACCCCCTGCCTTCCATATAATTATAATGGCAAAATGTTTTGCTCAGGGAGACCTCAAATAAGTGTAAAATCAAAAAAGTAAAATAGAAAGTGCACAGTGGCATTAACACTAAATTGTATTATCTCTATTGAAATTATTATATTTTTATATATATGTTTATTAACCAATCAAGGGCCCACGGGGGGCATGAACAAATTATTACAATATGATAATATTGATTACAATTCTATATTATAGATGTATAATGTAACATGACTAGTGATTAGGTTTGACATTGAGAAGTGCATCACCACACTTGATCAAAAGCATAGAAAACCATAGGATGATAAAAAGAAAACACAATTAAATAAAAATGATAGATATAAGGTAATCAAAAAAAAAAAATCTTGTAGTAATGGCAGTACTCTGATATACAACTAGTGCATCTTGCATACAAAGGGCACCAGGGGATGATACCTCTACACAGCCAGACTGGCAAACCTGTACCCTAAGTATTGAAGATGGTCATTAAAAAAAATTGTTTAAGTATTATCAGAAATAGTAATTTCAATTAATAAGTACTTAGCATATAATTATGAACTTGATGCAAACTAATCTCTTGGAGTTAGTTCAATAGATATTTAACATTCTATAAATCTGAATATATGCATACCCACATACACAAACACACACTTATTGTTACACATATCCATGCATACAAAAATAATAATTTACATACAAATATATAATATGTATATATTTAAACAAATGGTACTATCATGTATAAATGTAAATCTGTGATCTTGAAGGTAGCATACAATTAATGTAAAGAAAAGGTACGGTAACTTGGATACAGAGGGTACCAGGGGACGATGCCTCTGCACAGTCGATTATACTGGCAAACCCGTACTCTAAGTATTCAAGACACCCATTCTGACTGATTCTGTACATTTTAGAAGGTAATGGGGGGGGGGGGACACATTTAATTTACAATAAAAATAAAAAAAATAAAAAAAACTTTTCATAGGTTTACTAATACTTTTCATACTTCAGCTCTCATAATCATTTTACTGACTTGAATCAGTATTTGCACATCCTCATTAGTCATGAGCCAATTTAACTTATTATCACTGTCCAAGTTGTGGAAATTCTTACAGGATTTGTTTATTAATTCATACAAGACTTTTCTTTCATCCTTAATGTGATTACATGAAAGGAGAAAATGTTTCTCATCATCAACTGTTTTGTCATTGCATCTATTGCAGTGTCTTTCTTCTCTAGGAATGCCTATATATCGACCTCTTTCAATATTTAGTCTGTGAGCTGATATGCGAAAATGAGTAAAACTTCTCCTCTGCTCAAAATTCAGAATTAAATTAAGATACTTTTCTTGACCAAAATTTTGTTTAAAAGTGCTATAGCATCTCAGCTTTTTATCAGAGTGTGATTTAAGTTGTGAATTCCACTCTTGTATATAATATCTAAATAAACAATCTTTAAGTTCACGTTTGAATTTGTGCATTTTGACTGAAGTTAAATGTGAATACCATCGATATTGGTAATAAGAAAATTAATGGAGCTGTACCAAGAAGGGAGTTTTTTCTCAAACAATGATTTGGATTCACAATATGCATCTTTTAAAATTGGGAAAGACTGGCCTAGGTTTTCAAGCCTATACCAGTACCTTATCATTGATCTTACAATGTCAAAGTGCAGTGGAAATCTACCTAAATCAGACAATACAGCAAAATTAGTTGCAGTTTTATGCACACCTAGTACTGATTTACAAAATTTCAAGTGGAGTTTTTCACAGAATAAGTTGGAGTATATTTTATCAATAGTACAATTGGGTATGCTATTTTTTTTAGTAAATGGATTAAAACAACCCCAAATTTCAGATGCATACAATAAAATAGGTTTAACTGTATGGTCAAAAATATGAATAGTGGTTTTAACATCAGGATTCAGGGAAATGAAATTTTTCCTGAGTTTAAAAAATGATTTTAATGCTTTTTGATAAAGCTGCTTTTGAGCAAAGGAGAAAGAACCCGAAGAACAAAATGTCACACCTAGATATTTGTATTCAGACACACATTCCAGTTCAACGTCATTGAGGTAAAATTTTGTTTATAATATCAACACTGTATTTATTATCACCATTATTAATAATTGATATTATTTCCTTATTCATAAAACAATTGTTTTTGTTCTTCTATGTACATGTATATATTATTGTAAATTTTGTAAATGTTGTATGGCTATTTAATAGATTTTGTGTATGGGAGAGGACTATCTAAGTTTTTGGAACTTGTGTCCAATCCCTTTGACATATTGTCAATAAAATACCAGGTATGTTCAAAACAAACAAAACAGTGGCATTATGTAATAAAGAATCTGTAAAAGTCTCATTAAATTTTATTCAGTTGTATAGGAGGAGTTTTGGATAAAAGATGGGTATCCTTCAATATTACAAAAAAAAAAAAAATGGCAGTGTCAATGTTTGGCTATGGGAAATCCAAAATAGTTTCTGATCAAGGTCACAATGGCACTACGCAACAAAGAATCTGTGAAAGTCTCATTAAATTTCATTCAGTGGTATAAGAGGAGTTGTGCATAAGAGATGGGAAACCCAAAGCGTAACGGACGTACAGACCGCAGGCATCCCGATCACTTACTCCAGCATGCTAGAGGTTCACGGCGAGATACTTTTGACTTGGCGCCGCGCCGAGGTATATAAGGAGCGAAGGGACGTTAACCGAGGCTCTTACTTGTAGGAGTACCCGATCACTATACTGAGTATCTACCCCTCCACTTTTCAAGCAGGGGGTTTAATGAGTCCTGCCCTAAAACTAGAACTGTGAATCTAGGCATCAGAGACAGGGGTTATTAATTTTCCCCTTGCGTTTAGTGGTGTACATATATCAGGTTGGGACCACTCGCCCAAATGGGATATAATAGTCCGTTTGGAATATAATATCCCAAATGGGATACAAAATTAATTTACAGTGTAAAAAATGAAAATTTTTATTTTGGCAATAAATGTTATAAATCCGCATTATAAAAAGGAATAACTTTTGGATTGCAAGTTTTTCTGCAAGTGCAACCCTACAGTTTGTAAGATTGGTCCCCAAGAAGTTATGGAACTTCCGAGGGATTAATCTCCAAGACTATAAGCATACAAAAAAAAACTTGTTAAATTATCCCAATTAGGATATATTATATCCCATTTTGGCGAGTGGTCCCGGACTACCGTCCCAACCTGTACATAACAGCCTAACGGGAGAGGAGAAAAATGCGATGGATCAGCCCAGGTTCAAATCCCGCTCGGGTGCATACAAATTGAAAAACAAGCATTATGAATATAATAAAGCAGCAAATTACTTTTTTTCAACTCTTTCAATTCTACACATTTCTTACATTTACCCTGATTAACAGTTTCCTTGGTTGTTTCACTGTTTACGTTTTTCATCTTTCCCGGCTGCTTCTGTTATCATCTAGGTTTTCAAAACGCTTTTTGACAAATGAATAATACTCTCAGATTGCAAAGCTTCTCTTCAACAAAGATGTATAGACTAGTCATGCCATATCATATCATGGCAGAAAATGTTAAGGTAGGTTTTGTGTGTTATTTTAAGTTATTGACTCTGACAGTTTGGTATTGACAGTGTTTTTATCGGATAAGCACCTATGATAGTTTTTAGTGAGCTTCTAAAATTGCATAGACTTTTTAAAAACAAGTAGGGGACGAGGGGCTTACCAGGCACCAAAATGTTTCGACAGGAAAAAAAGATTTAAAACAATAGCATTTTTGTACAAGGATGCCTCCTTAGACAAACGGATAATTTGATTTCTTTATCTCGACTTCCCCTTTTAATAACTTTTCTAAATTGCTTGTTATGTCTGATTATGACAGTTCTGTGTATAAGTGGTCAGAATGTTCCAGTTCTTGAACTTCTTTCACTTGTTACTCTAAATATTATATATTACATACCCTAATGGTTTCTTAAAGGCTACAGTCTGATGATTGACAAAGGGATTTTTTCAATAAATTGCTGTCATACATATTTATTGTTGATTTCAACTTAGTTCTCATCTCTTTCGGCCTTCCTGAAATGAGTTGGACCAGGAGTCAGGAGAGTTAGTTGGAAGAGCACCTGACTGGCACATCAGGGGGGTTGGGTTTGAGTACCGGTTTGGTCCATTGCATTTTTCTCCTCTCCTGTTACATTACATGTAAAATACCTTACGCCCTCACTAAAAGATTGTTTGGTTGCCCAAGCTCTCCCAACCAACTTGGCGGACCAACTGATTAAAAATGACCTGACTCAAAACTTTTTTAAAGGAAACAAATTTTAGTTTTGTCAGTCCTCAGTGCTATCAACAAATATGTTGAATTTTTTTGGGGGGAAAATCTGACTTACCTACTGATCCAATAATTTTACCCTGAGTCAGAAGAAGGCAAGCAAAGTGCATTATTTTAAAGATGGCCTTATTCATGATATTCTTCAAAAGTGTATGTTATGGGGCCATCCTCTTGACAGGAATCATTGTTGGCAGTTCTTTGATAAAAGAGTCAATTTGCAATTGAAAATAGTTGTAGGGTCCTTTTACTAGACTTGTGTGCAGTATTTATTATTCTTGTCAAATAGTATCAGGTATAATATGGTCTTGGTACTTCCAATATCCTTCTTGATTCTTACATGTACATGCTAATTAGAGTTTACCGGTACTTAAAATGCATTTTAGCATTGGTATTATTGTATATATCTCTTAGAAGAGGAACTAGTCCAGTTTAAAATATCTTTTGCAAATCTAAACTAATTTGATGTGTTTAGTTCAAATTATGTTGTATTACATGATAAATGATTCTTTTATGATTATTTGAGTTGCTTTGTTTCAATTAGTAAGCCAAACTGTGGTAAAGCTCTTTATTTTCTTTTTTCTAGATAAATCTGCTATTTTTTGCTAAAAGTAGAGAGCTGGTTGGAAGTGGATTAGGAGAGCTGATACTTTCTGCTAACTCTAATTTTGATGCACTCAAACAAGCACTGTTGTTAAAATATCCCTCGTAAGTACATCTGCAGATTTTTGTTATGACTTTTACAACCAAGGTGGTAAAATTTCACCAAACTTTTAGCTCAGCAAGTCAGAGTACAGAATAACTTATCCATTAGTAGGGCGTGTGTGACCAATCTGTCTGTCTGTCTGTTTTGTAAGTTAACCATTTATAAATTACTACACCAACTCTTCTGGTCTGATACTCAGAATTTAGAAGAACATGTTATAGCCTGCAAGAAGATACTTACCGGTAATTATATACCTAATGGTGGTATTTGATTTCCATGAATGATATTGTTCTTCCTAGGGTGATAAAAATAAGAATTCTTTGTTAATGTAAAATTCCAGAAGAAAAGACAGAAGTACAAAACAGTGCAACTTTAAGCTATAATGAATTGAAACCAGTAGAGCTATAGCCTCATCTGAGATTTTTGGATTAAAATAATTTTTTACCTTTCTTTTATAGATTAGAGGTAATCGCAGACAATATAATCCTATCCCTGAATGAAGAATACATTGATGACAGCCAGCAGTTGACTCTGCGAGAGAGTGACGAGGTCGCCGTCATTCCACCTATAAGTGGGGGATAGTACACCACTCCCAAGTCTCCACACTTCAAGTTAGAAATTTAGCTTAATTAAAAATTACAGTTGGTTACATCTTTGAATTTTATTTCTGGTTGGCTAACATTTCTCTTATGTTGTTGAGCAGTCAACATGGTCAAAATAATTACCTAAAACCAGTTATTGTTTATGTTGATTTGTTGGTGAATTTTTGGACCATTGCTAAGGTAGGAACAGTTGACACAACTAGTCAAAAATCTAATTTGTTTGACATCTGCTGATTGCATAAAACATTTTTCAAATTATGTATACTGGGTATTACTTATTTGCAAGAACTTTTTTTTCTGCTTGTGAATATTTTATTCTTGCATATATTTTTATTAGCATAGAACATATACAGCAAAAAACAGCTAGCATTTGTGAAAATTCTGTCTTGCTTATACAGTACAAATATATAGCTTGTGAAAATAAAATGTACAGTACAAAGCACAAATTGTATAAAAAAAAATTTAATGATATTGCAAAACATTTATTGAATGGGATTTTGGACTATTAATTACCTGGTAATGCAATTTTTCAAACTGGATCGAAAAAAAAATCTCTGCCTACAGCCCAACTTTTTCATTTAAACAGTTTGGTTTACAGATCTGACCAAATGTTTTACCCTTGAACTTAGTCGTTTAAAGATGAACCCATTATTTAATATTGAATACTACAGGTAATGTAATAATCTGTTTATTTCCTGTGTATTACAGAATATAGAATGGACTTTATAGAGATAACAGAAGAGAAACTGGATGTCAACAATATATCACAGATGGTCACAGACCCAAGTTGTGGTGCTATATCTATTTTTGTTGGTAAGTCATATGTTCGTCCACGAAAAAGAGATAAGGAATCTGTCTTGGAATATACTTTACATATGATTAGATGATATAAACTTTAGATAGTTTTCATATGACATATTTTCTATCTGAGTCATTCCCCCCTTGGCCACCATCCAAGTGAATTTTTTCCTTAAGCAACAAGGAGGGGAGGAATTTAAACATTAATGAAAAATTATATGAATAAAAAAAATCTTGATAATATTAAAACTGTGAATTAAGTAGGATTTAACAAATATATGTTAGCCAGAAAATTAGTGGTATCTACACCTAAATGCCCAGTATGACTGGGAAGTTTAAATTGATTGAATAGTGATGGAATCTAGGCATGTTCAGCTAGTGGGAAATAACTCTTGCTTAAATTGCATGTACCGTATAAGTGGAATTTTTAGGGAGACGCAAATTTAGCGATTTGTCCTTAAAAACTGGTAATTTCTTTTTAGCGAGATGTTATTGAAGCAATCTTAAAATGCACATTAAAGATGCTTTTACAATAAAATGAAATTAATTTTTAGTGATATTCAATTTTAGCGATCTTGGTACCTTCGCTAATAATGCCAAAATTAAATCCTTGCTAAAATTTCTACTTATACAGTATCAAAAACTTTTTGTCCTTTCAAAGACATTTGTGGTCTTACATGAAATTTCATTTATAAAGTTGTATGATTATAGGAATTACAAGGGATAATTTTGATGGTAAAAAGGTGCTGAGACTAGAATATGAAGCCTATAAACCGATGGCAGAGAGGAAAATGAAGGAAATTTGCGATGATATAAGAAAAAAGTGGCAGATACACAAAATAGCAATGATTCACAGAATTAAGTAAGTTTGCATCATAAAATTTTTATCCACAGAAAATTTAATAAGTAAATTTTCCACACAGTTGATATGATAAATGGGTTAGAGCATTCTTTCTTAAAATAAATTCCTAATTATAGTATTACAATATCATTTCTGCTTGTGATTGATTCCAAAAAGATTGTTTTTTATTTAAAAAATATAAAAACTTCAGTATGGCCATCTTTATAAAAGAATGCTCTCCCTCTCTGGGCCTCACCCAAACCTGTATGAAAAAACTTTTTTTCCCAGGGATTTTCACCGTAAATGCTTTATATTCAAAACTTATTTTTGAAAAAAAAGACTTTGCTTAAATCCCATCCATAACCATTATGGATGGGATGAAAAAAATCATGGAATGAATGAAAAAAAAAATTGTTTCCACAAGGTTTGAGTCAAGCCTTTTTGACAGTCAGTCATGAGAAGGTACACAAGTCTCTTTCTAAAAGAAGACCTAATAGGTATTTTATTTTTCTGAAGCATTGTACATGCTACCTCTTCAGTGATACTTTTCCCCCTGATTTTAGTGTGGTCCCCATTTCTGAGGCCAGCATTGTCATCGCTGTATCCTCATCACATAGGAAGGACTCCCTTGAGGCTGTGGAGTATGCCATCAACACACTGAAGGCCACCGTGCCCATTTGGAAAAAGGTAAGAGCCTTGTACACTAGCTGAATTAATGGTTTGAACTACTAAATACATTTTATTGAATTTGTTCACAATTTGCATCTTTTGACAGGAAATTTATGCAGATGAGTCCTCTAGCTGGAAGGAGAACAAGGAGTGTCCTTGGAGTAAACAGTAACAGTCCTTTTACAGATCAAAGAAAACTACATGTATTAATTAGTAGTATATTCATTTTCCAAGAATTTGATGCAAAATTATTTTTTATCAAGAGATCCAGTGAACATGTGCATTGTATTGAAACTATTCGTTTTAATTTATATTATACATGTGTTGATTTTATTTGTAAAATTTATCTTGCCCTTTCCATGTTAAAATAGAATTGTGTATTTTATCGTTATAACCAGAGAAACGTAGTAGAAATAGAGGAACAACTGCAACATACATTTAAACTTTTTTCATCGACCATGTATAAATGAAAAATACCAATTATTAAATTAAAGGTTCTGTGTGCATTTAATGTAAAAAGAAAATTAGGAAATACCAGCTAAATTATATACTTGGTAAGGATGACTGCACTTAAGGAAACTTAGAAATTGCGACATAATTAATTTTTAAAATGGGCATTTCTCTTTCAATAGTAGAAATGGTCAATGTCTTAACTGCAGCTTTGTGTAATTACGTTAATTAAAAGTTCGTATTAACGAAGTTCGAAGTCGTTTTTATAGGGAGGGATCATCGCATATTCTGGAATCTCCATAGGATAATGAGTACGCCCATCTTTTCACAGGCTTAATACATAGTCAGCGCATGTTTGTCTATTGATCTCCTTTTAATGGTAGTTGTATATTTATATATATTACCTCATATTAAAAGGAGATCGATAGACAAACATGCGCTGATGGTTAAAAAGAGAAAAAACTGTTTCTTCGTGTGTTCACTTTCTCCATAGTATACAGGCCATTTTGACCACGTTGTTACCCGTTGAATATTATAATTAACCACGTCATTTCTATACCCAGGTAACTCTGTGAATACTTAAATTCCATCACGTGACGTGTAAGGAAACACGCATTCTGCTTGCCGATAGTGATTGTTCATATCTGTTTCAATCCATTCCCACCGAGCCACGGGCTATTCTTTTTTCTCTTTGATATCTATACGATTATTCTTATATTTATCTTATAAGCACTTATATATTTTTGAATGCATGTCTCTACAAGAAAAAAGAGATTTATTTATTATGTTTTGAATCATTGCTTAATATGAACATCCAAAGTAAGAGCCAGTAAATAAAATTGAAATCATACCATCCTCAGCACTCTTATTTATAGGGAAAAGTAATTATGAAAGAAACTAAAAAAAACTTGAGTAATTGTGGTGTTTTTCTTTCTTTTTATAAAAGGGAAAAAAGAAAATCAGTCTTATTGTTGTTATCGGGTCTCGATCCCGGACCTAAATATTATTGATTCTGTGCATTACCAACTGAGCTAGTCGACACTTATATTCGAACACGCGAATTGTTGATATCAGCCATTGCTGTTGATTATCAATGAGAATGGCTACTTCTACCGGTCGATGTTATTTGTTATTAGTTTTATATACTTTATTTGAAAACTTAAAAAATAATAGTGACAAACATATGACGAGAGAGAGCGAGAAAGAAAATGCACCAAATATAAATACATTAGCTATTCTAATATTAGACCACTAGCTCATCACAATATTAGCTCCACCTCTTATGCATATTTATAAATCTTATCTTCAATCAAGGGCAGATAAGTCTCATTTCCCGATATTTGCAGAGAGGTGGGGTAAGGAAACAACGAATTATTTCATTGCAACGCAGTTTATAACCTTTATAACATTGCATTTTATTTGGAAATAGACCAAACTCTATAATAAATGACTTGAGACAAAAATAAAAACAAAAATAAATGTAACAACAGAGATTGAAAAAGACCCAAAAACCGGCGTTAAGTGCAGTCATCCTTTTTGTATAACTATATTTTTGTATGTTTTCTTCTGAATCATATCATAAAACCTCTGATAAAACCCATATAATGAAAGTTGATCTCTAGTCAATAAACAGCTGATGGTACTATTTAGAAATTAGTTTAAAGACCTAAACAGTGCTATGTAGACATTTAATGATGCAGTATTAATACATGTACCCATACCAAAGAATATAAAGATATTTGAAACATAATTTCTTTCTTTCTTTCTTTTCTGACGGAATTCTTAATGTGCAAAATAAAATTATATTTAAAAGCTCAGCTCAACTAAAGGTTCAAACGATCTGACTTTCCACTGCAAAAATTTTACATCATTACTTCAGAAATACAATCAAACTTGCCACAAAACATCAATGGGTAAATCAGTGTCTTAAATTCAAATTAAGAGCTTCACTCTCTTTCAAAAGGGGAGGGGTGTAGAGAAATACAGAAATCATGGGTCCTGAAATTAAAACTTGAGTGAACTGTCCAATCTGGACTTGCTTTTGAATTAAAAACAAACCTTCTTCATCAAAACAAATTTATTAAGACTTGTCCTTCTGTCTAAGTTTAAAATATAAAAGGTATCTCTCCAGAATAAAAATGCCCTCAGAAATTTGGAGTTCACTTTGGTCTAACCTGAAAAAATAAAATGTTCACTTAATATACATGTATAATCATCATAAAAAAAGTTACCAATTTATTTTGGAAAAATTCAAGAACAGATATACTGTAAAATGCACCAATTTCAAAATATCATTTCTTTTCTTTGAGTTGTTTAATATTAAGTTAAAAGGCATGGGTGAATTGTGTTAAAATTTTCTCAAATGAAATGATTTAGGTTTACATTTGAATGGTGCGCCTGACTTTGTTGATCTGCTCCTGTTCTGAGGGGGTTATGGTCATTAGGATCTCCTCTCGCTGGTTTGCGTCCTCTACTGATGCAGCAATGGCTTCCATCCTTTCTTGTTTGTCCAGCAAACGCCTGAAAATCAAAGTATAGTCATACAGAACTTACCAGTACATGTATAAATTACAAGCTACCTCCTTAGAAATGACATAACTGTTACCAGTAGTTTGTTTGTTATATGCTTATATATTGTCCCTTCAAGAATTTTCACTCATATTGAGACACCACCACTTTTCTAGTGGAGGGCTGCAAATGACCTTTACTTTGCACTTATGGCCTTTGAGCAGTGAGGGATCATTTTCTTGCCAGCACCTACTGTGGCACAGGACCTCTGTTTGTACAGTCTCCACCAAAGGACTGGTCTCCACATCCAGCATTGGGGTTCAATCCACTGAATCAAGGATTACCTCACTCTTCAACTCTTAAGCAAATACTCTCACCACTGCACCATGTAGGCAAGGAAATGACATTCTGTACGGTATACTAGTATACTCATATTTCAGTATTCCATGTGCTGTATGTCAAGTACTGTATGTCAAGTAATCAGATGATTAACCATAAAAATGATTTAAATCATTTAATACTTCATTTGCAGATTCAAATTCAGATCCTATAAGAGTGGAAGACTACCAAAGCCAAATAATTGTGTTTGTAAGGGGATAGAATAGGATTCTATCTTCAAATCTTCACAATCCTCAAATAAGCCCTTCATTTACAAAAACACCTAAATGGGAAAGCTGCACACAATTATGTTAAAAATGGCTGTAATTCACTCATCTGGAAAATATGGGTCAGACCTAGCATTGATGCGAATTTGGTAGTGTTCATCTCTAAATGCATTATACATTGTACATGCATGTTTGGTCCAGGTAGAGCTTATGGCTACATGTTTTTTGTACTTTGGAATAAACCTGCTCCAAAAAAAAATGTCACTCATCTGAAAAATATAGGTCAGATCCAGCATCCAAGATCTTCTGGTAGTGTCCATCCCTAGATGCATCAACCTTGCAAGTTTGGTCCAGGTAGGGCTTATTATTACTTTGGAATGGACCTGCTCCAAAAATTTTAACCTGAGGCCTGTTCAACAGTGCTCTTGAACATTTCTGTTTGAGGTATAAAGAAATCTGCCGAGCACTCACAAACGTTCCCCCTGTTGAACAGGCTTCTGGTTAATCATCTGGAAATTGCCATCAAATCCAGAATCCAAAGCAAGACTTGTAATGTCCATCTCTAGATGCATCATCCATGCAAGTTTGATCTAGGTAAGGCTGTAGTTATTTTGAAATGGACCTATTCAAACATTTTTAACCTGGTCACTAATCTGGAAAAAATGTCAGATCCAGAATACATGTATGAAGCAAGTCTTGTAGTGTCCATCCCTTGATGCATCATCTATGCAAGTTTGGTCTATACAGTGCTTATAGTTACTTGAGAATGGACTTGCTCTAAAACTTCAATCTGGACGTCAACACTAACTGATGCTGAAGGGTATGGCATAAGCTCATCTAAACTTAGTCCGGGTGACCTAAAAAGTGAATTAAGATTCTCCAAACATTAAGGTACCTGTGTTCTGTAACTTCTGCCTCTTTCTTTAACATAGCATTGTACAAAGCCTGCAATTAAAAAAAATCAAGAAGTTTAAAGACCTGAGTATAACAAGAGGCCCAGGGGCCACAGCGCTCACCTGAGCATATCGGCTAGGAAAAAGCACATATCAGATCAGAACTGAAACTTTACTGAGGTGATGGTGGGGGGGGGGGGGGGGGGCTTGAATTTTAACCCCCCAAGGGTTCATGATTTGAACTAGAATCTACACTACCTTAGGATGATTCCATATAAATATCACTAATCATGGCTTTGAAGTACTTGAAAAGAAGATTTTAAATATATTGGTTTCCCAATATATCCCTATGTAAAACTAGGGTCGGCCATTTTGGCCCCACCCTTGCCCCGGGGGTCATGATTTGAACAAACTTGAATCTACACTACCTGAGGATAATTCCACATGAGTTTCATCTTTCCTGGCCTCGTGGTTCTGGAGAAGAAGATTTTTGAAAGATTTTTCCTTTATATTCCTATGTAAAAGTAGGGTCGGCCCCACCCTTGCCCCGGGGGTCATCAATTGAACAAATTTGAATCTACACTACCTCAGAATGATTCCATATGAGTTTCATCTTTCCTGGCCCAGTGGTTCTTGAGAAGAAGATTTTTAAAGGTTTTTCCTATATATTCCTATGTAAAACTTGGATCGGCCATTTTGGCCCCACCCTTGCCCCGGGGGTCATCAATTGAACAAATTTGAATCTACACTACCTCAGGATGATTCCACATGAGTTTCATCTTTCGTGGCCCAGTGGTTCTTGAGAAGAAGATTTTTTGAAGATTTTTCCTATATATTCCTTTGTAAAACTTGGATCGGCCATTTTGGCCCCACCCTTGCCCCAGGGGTCATGATTTGAACAAACTTGAATCTACACTACCTCAGGATGATTCCACATGAGTTTTATCTTTCCTGGCCCAGTGGTTCTGGAGAAGAAGATTTTTTGAAGATTTTTCCTATATATTCCTATGTAAAACTTGGGTCGGCCATTTTGGCCCCACCCTTGCCCCGCGGGTCATGATTTGAACAAACTTGAATCTACACTTCCTGAGGATGCTTCCACATGAGTTTCATCTTTCCTGGCCCAGCGGTTCTGGAGAAGAAGATTTTTTAAAAATGCCATTAATTTTTAACAAATTCATGATTATCTCCCCTTGGAAAAGGGTGTGGCCCTTCATTTGAACAAACTTGAATCCCCTTTACCCAAGGATACTTTGTGCCAAGTTTGGTTGAAATTGGCCCAGTGGTTCTTGAGAAGAAGATGAAAATGTGAAAAGTTTACAACGACGACGACGACAACGACAACAACGACGACGACGACAGACAACGGACAGATTGTG